TATGGAAAAGCTAGAAAATACTTGGGAGAACAGATCAAAAATGAAGAATTAGAAGAAGAACTTTTGAAAGCATGTTGTAAACTTGTCAAAGATAAAACAACTAAGATTTTAAGAATTAAAGAGATTAGCTCTATACATGCTCATGAATATGTATATTGATTATTTTTTGAGAACATAATTTTATGGCTCCATTAAAGCTATGTATTATTTTATTTTATTTTATTATTTGATTAGTTTCACCATTAGAGTGTACATAGTGGGTAAATCAGAAATTGTCCACTGAAAAAATGAAAATGGTGAAGGAACACTGTTTAGAGTTGTTTTAGTGGACAAATTAGTATGAATTATTATTATTATTTATTATTTCTTTTCAAAAAGACTTGATTACTAAAATGAAATATACATAATCAATGTAATTAGGGAGAAATTAGAGCCACTGCATTTGATGGTTACATAGACAAATTTTATGATAAATTGGAAAAATATAAAGTATGAATTTTAAAACTGAACCCATTCTACTTCATCTTCTGTCAATTATTAATTATTTAATTTCAAATAGGCATATTATAATATATCCAATTTAAATGTGATTTTAAGCAAAAAGTCATATAATCTGGAGAATCACTATGAAATGTATTTTGATGATAATGTTGAAATTAAACAGGTATGTAAACATAAAAATTTCAGGTTGTTGAATTTTCTCTTAATATTAAAATTTTTTTTTAAAAAACCCCATTTTTCCTATTTTTTTTTTAGTGCAACAATAATGATTTTAATGAAGATGATTTAATGAATTTATTATCTTTTAATTTTTTTCCATTGGACAAATTAATGGCTTTTTACATAGACAGTTATATTGGTAATTATAATTCCTAATTTTTAAAATGATATATATTTTGATTTTTTGATTTTTATTAATATTTTGATTTTTTGATTTTTATTAATATTTTGTTTAATAGATGTTATTGGTATTGTAAAGAAGATTGATAAATCTCACAGCATCATAACAAAAGCTACTAAAAAAAGAGTATTTATCTTTTTTATACATATTTCATTAAAAATTTTTTTATTAATCTATCAATTTGTTCTTTAAACTATTTATAGGTCCAAATACAAATTACTGTAAAGTCTGGAAAGATAGCCCGAAAGATAGCACCCCTACTTTAAAACAATTGAGCGTCAATATAAAAAAAATGTTACACATATGTAAAAAGGGGATGCTATCTTTCCAGACTTTACAGTATCAGCATAGCTGACAAAAATGGACATGAAAATAAAGTTACCTTGTGGGAAATCATGCTGATACTTTGGGACTTGAGATTAATACAATAGTTTCAATGAAATTTGTCCATGTTACTGATTATAAAGGTTCAAAAATATTTACTAATACTTAATATATACATGCATTTATTTATTTATTTGCAAATGATTAAATTATATTTTTCCCCAGGCATAGGTTTATTGACATCACCACACACACTAATATTTATAAAAAAATCATTGCCAGGAAAAATATCAGATTGGTATTATATTTATTGGTTAATTTATCAATTAATTGATTGTAATGTCAGTAATTTTTAAATTAATTAAAATGTCCTCATATTATTGTTTTTAGGAATTCCAGGAATGTGGCAAGTGGATCTCATTCAGAATCCAGGACTCAAGAGATTCCCAAAGAAATTTTATCATATATGACTTTGGGATATGAGCAAGAGCCAGATTAAAGATGGTTCCTCAATTAGTTGCAACTAATTGCGGCATATAAAAATTGAATTGCGGTTGCAGTTGCGGTTGCAGCATATGAAAATTGAATTGCAGCTAATTGCGGTTCCCATCTCTAAGCCAGATGATATAGAACAATTGAAATATCAACTTCTGGAAAAAGAAAAGAAATTAAATGATGTAGAAAATAGTAGAAATCAGTGGAGAGAAAAACTTGATAAACTTTGGGACATATATATACAAAAAAAAAACAAAATTATCAAGCAGAAGTAAGGATTATCAAATATATTATTTATGATTAGTTGAGTTATTTTTTTATGAATTTCTTTTTTCATGTGTGCAGATTCAAGAATTGAAAATTGAAAATGAAAAGCCAAAAAATGAAATTTCCGAATTGAAAAAAGCCAAGGTGTAAGAAACTTAATTTGTAACTGATATACATAAGAAAATAATATGAATAATAATAATATAAGTAATATAAATGACAATATAAGTAATAAATAATAAGTAATATGGGGCATACTCCAACAAAACCAGACAAAGTGAACATTAGTATAACCAAGAATTTCAGGGATCAAAATTTAGTTATTATCATCACAATTAGTTTTATAATATCCATCTGTTATCTTAAGTGATATATAGAACTACCCCTATATAAAATAATTAACATGAAGCTAATTTACATTAGGTCTACCATGGAACCCAAGAATTATAGTACTATCAGAAGTATTTTGAAGAAAAAACAAGGGGAAAAGATTGCACCTTATATTTTCAAAATAAATGATGCTCAGACACTTGAAACTTATTTAAGAAAAGAAAAGATTACCTATGAAATTTACCAAGAAGAGAGAAAAATAATAAATGTTAGAAAAAGAAAGCAGAATGAAAGTATGTTATTACCCAACAAACAGCAAAAATCTTTAAAAGGAAAATAACTACCATTTGATAGTTGGAATGAATTTCAATTTATACAGAGGGAAATTTCCTCAATTACTTTTTTATTTTCAATCAAGATCATCTTTTAGTCTCTTTGACTTCAATTTGAGCAATTAATTGACCATTCTGTTGATCTTTTAATGACTTGTTTTCCTCTTCTAGTTGCTTAATTTTTTCTTCTAAACCCTTTACTTTATCCAATAACTCCTGTTTCTGTTTTTTACTCCACTCTTCAGATTTTTCTTGAAATTTGACTACTTCTTCTCTTTCAATTTCAAGTGCTTCCTCAGTAGTGATTAGTTCTTCTCACAAAGAGTTTATTTGTCTTTCATAAAAAGTTGCTTCTCTTTCCTCATGAGGTAAAATAGGGAGTTCTTTTTCATCAACATTTTCATTATCAACAATAGAATGACAAACATAACTGTGCCTATTTTTCAACCTTCCACATCTCTCTCACTTTTCTAACTCATCATTTTCAAATTTCTCTTTACAGTTTTCACATGCTTCATCATTAGCAATTACCTCATGAGTTATTTTGTTCCGGGTTCAAATTTGGCAAATTTGGCCAACGTAAGTCTACTATACACCAACCTCTTTGATGAACACTATAAACACAATGAACAATACAGTGCATTGCAATATGTAATTTTCCAATTGAATCTGGCTTCCTATTTACTCCTACTGGAGTTAAATATAATGTTAACACTTCAGATTCATCATCTTTGACTTTAATGACATATTTCACTGCTTTTTCTAAGTATTGTGTCCCCTTTGTAGTGTCATAGAATAATTTGACCCTAATGCATAGAAAATTACCATAGCATTAGTATAAAAACTAACAACATAATTTTATGTAATAGTCAAGATAAAATGCAAACAAGTAGAACCTTTCCATATCTTCCTTTTTCATTCCAATATATGTCTTGATAATTACTGAGTAATTGATAATTATTTCTCAACCCCAAAAATCTTCTTCTGCTATTTGCACATTAGAAACACCAAAGGGAAATGGTGGAAGTGGTCCAACTTGATCAACAGCCCACAAACAATACCTACTTATATTGATACATGCCTGTACACAGCTTTGTTTAAGAGTATAGAAGGATGATAAAATTAATACTCCATAATAAAGTAAAACAATTTTTTTAAATCAAAAATCAATCTGAAAACATACTGGAAAATCTCCCACTTATCCTGAGAAAAAAGATTAACCTTAAATTCATCTATGAGATTTTGTGAACGATCAAGCTTGTTGAAAAAGATAATATCATTTGCTACTGCAATAGCAATAACAGATGGCAATTTGCAATAATGAGGTGGCCATAAATTTATTCATCAATTCATATTTGGCTAAGTCTAGATCATTTTTATCAGCTTTTTCTTCCATAAGAATTATTGGTATACTTCCAACATGTGCATCCACACATTTATGTTTTAAGGTGCTTCTAGAGGTAACATTACGGTTAACTTGGAATGAAGAAAGGTAAGAAACAATACCTAACAATCCACCATCCCTTCCATGAAGTACATCTTCTAAATCACCTTCTTTCAGATTTTTTAAGAGTTTTAGTATTTGAAACTGCATCTCTGAATGATATTCAGTTGTAGATGGAATTATAATATGGTTGTTATTTTGTTGAGTTTGCAAGTTCTGCATAAAATTGGATGTAAGTACTAATGACATTTCACTTTCCAAAATAAGAATGGGTTGTTCCAATGGAAGATCAAAACGAAAGCTGTATGAATCAACTGGTTGAACTGAATATTTAATGGGCCTAAGTTGAGTACCTATATATTTCAGAAATTGTTATGTAGATACATGAATAAACAGTATACCAAACACTTTCTCAAACAAACAAACAAATAAATGAAATGGAATGAATGGAAAATAATTTTTTTTATACAATTTGTTCATTACCTTTCCCTTCTGCAAAGTCAGCTAATTTATTTTGCAAATTAATTACTTGGTCCCCCCACTTTTCCTTGTCCTTCTTCAATTCTTCTTTTTCTTTTTCAACTCATCTATTTTATTTTTCCATCCTATCTTCTGCTCTTCATTCCTGTATTCTTCCCTATCCAATTTCTCCTCCAAATTGTCTAATCTATTGTCTAATCTTTTTTGTTTGTTCCCCAACTCCTTTTCCACTTTCTCCAATCTTTCTTCTGCTTTCTTTAATTGCTCTTCAATTTTTTTGATTGTTGCCATTTCGTGAGATTTAAAATAAATATTTTTTCTCAATTTATGTAAAATTTCGACCAATGATAAAATTGATTGACATATGACAGTCAGATCACTTGCATAAGTATTCCTACATTATTACATCATCATTTTATCATCGTTTTTATTATATCTGAATATTTTATTGTAAAGAGAATTTCAATGGCCATTTCGCTCAATAAAAAATTTAAATTTCGTGTGTATTTTTTTTATCGCCAGTAAATTTGTTTATTTTATTGAATTGATTTTTACATGCTTTATGTGAAGTAAGAAATCAAGAAAAAAAATCTGCAATTCATTATTGAATGTAAGCATTTTTTTTAAAAAAATGTTATTATGGATGAAAATATTTATTAATTATTTGTATTTAAAATTGTTTAATGATGATTATTAAAAGGACTATTTTTTTACCTGAAAATTAATTGAATTGGTGATGTTTTATAATGTTCCAATATAAGGTAGAATTATTTACTTTGTTTCAATTTCAATGAGAAAAACAAAGATCTATAAACATATCCTTGAATGTAAAATTTGTTCAAACAAAAACATTTTTTTATTGATAAACAATGCAATTTGATGATTGTTAATTACATTTGCATAAAGGAGAATTTCCTTTGTCAATAAAAAAAATAAATCAATATTGTAATAATAAAATTATTTTCCTTCTAAGGATTTCTGCTTTTTGTTAGGTAATAATA